TCATTTCTTTTCTCCCCTTCAGAGGCCAACATCGACTCTGATGTAGCGTTCAGGGTTTGAGATTTGGCCCCCCTTTTTAAAAACCTCCATTTTCACAAAACCTGAAAGAATTCAGCATTCATTTTTTTCAACGTATGTTTTTTTTTTTTTTAAATATCCCTTTTTTGTGAATTCAAGTGATTTTTTTTTTTTTTTTGTACAAAGACTCCGCTTACTCTTTGTGCGGTGAAAATTGGTCTTTTTTGTGCGCCTGCAATCAACGCCCTTCTGGATGACCCCCAGGTGCCTGATTCAAAAATGGTAAGTACCAACAATTTAACCCTCCGCTTAATCCTTATACAACTCATTATAGTGTACACCTTAGTATTTGTTTTGACCAATTCGTTATCAAAAAAATCAGTTTTGACTGTTTTTAATGTGTTTAATGCAACAGTTCATCCTCTGGTATTCCAGTTAAACATGTCTCTGTTAACATCACAACTGTTCTGATGTCTGCCACTGTTTCTTGTTTTGTTTTTTCGCATTGATTTTTCCATTTTGTGTCTGTTTCCCTGCACCCGTTTATCAATAAACAGATCAGAACAGATTCTGAGAAATCTGGTTTTTCCTATGAGAGTTATCATGAAGAAAAAAAAATATTTGATTAAAAAAGAAAACATAAAAAATTAGCTGTTATCTTCACACACCTTATACAGGCTCCACACTGACATTCTGTAGATGTATGCACACACACACACACACACACACACACACACACACGCACTCATGCAGATCAGATTTCACTGTGTCTGTGCACTACACACTCACATACACACTAACAGGGTTGTCTGTGCAGAAGGTCCGGTGAGATGGCAGCGCTGTTGGCCGACATGCTATCAAGTTTCAGTAAATACTCACATCCTCCTCTGCATCCATGTTCAGGTTGTACAATCAGGAAGAATCAGCCCTACACAATTAAATGTTAGCGTTTTGCAGAGCTGAAAGCAGAAAAGAAAAGGTCGCTTTTCGCTTCTTTGGCTTGCGGCAGAAAACCTGATAAATTGGCTTTGAATGACTGAGAAAAGGAGAAAATATGTCTGATACTGACAGGAGAAGAAGAATAAGATCATAAGAGGCAAACAATGTTCATACAAAGGCGAAGGCAAACTCTTTCTGCTCTTAAGATATCATATATGTGACACTTTATGACATAAATGCTGTTGATAAGATATCGATTTAACAACTCAAATTGAAGTGCTTTATATGATAAAACAAAAAAAATAACAAGCATATAATGTGTCCGTGTAATCTGCTCAGTGTAATAAGTGTCCATCAGTATAATCTGTGTCGATCACTGTGTGTCCAGCTAAAGCATTAACAAAATGGCAAAGTGCCATCAGAGAGAAACAACTGACTGAACGTCTCCCCTCAGAAGCTGACATGTCCAAATCACTATTATTAATGTTGCATTATTGATCATGATTGATGCTCTGAAAGAACTCACATGGAGCGTGTACACCTATAGGAGTGAAGTTCATGTATGTAGAAGGAGCCATGACGTAAAGCAGCAGATTTTTTCTTGATCTTCGGAGGACATATTAACCATTTTTGAACCTCATATTTGTGATGTTTTTGCAGCGGCCTGTGTCTCCTTAGAAAACCGAATCAAGTGAATCTGATGGAAATGTAAAAAAAAAAAAAAAAAGAGAGAGAATAATTCATCAGCCTTCTGTGTGCTCATATTGTTTAAATGTGTTAATATAATGACATAAAAGTTTCTCACATGCAGCTTTCTTCTAACAAGGGCAGCGATTTCTTCCATCACTCGTGAATTTGCTGATTATTTCCTTAAATTAATTTGTCCTTTAAAAAAAAACAAAAAAATGGCATTAATACTACAGATTATTCCAGAGTTGATGATGATGATGTCTGAAAATGTCCGATGTTGTCAAAGCAAGAATTAAAATCACAAAAAAAAGACATCTTAATGTGATGACAGACCAAGAAAAGCAGAACAATTCAAAGCATTGACATCTTACATCCATCAAATGCCTCCCCACAATATAATCAATGCAGCTATGATTGAGTTTTCACTTCACTGTTTGTGCAGCTTTAACTTGAACATTTAATTACATCTAACATCATTAAAAGGTGTTTAAACCTGATCAGAAAAAGCTTTACTCCAAAGACAAACGACTGGCTGCTGAACACTGGATGAAGTTTCTTCTAATGGAGCTTTAAATTGTAAAGTGTAAATATTATTTTTCATCTTTCACCTTCCTCACTGACTGACAGCTGAATCAAAGTGACACTGAACTGACAGACACTGACATCAGGAGGACAGAGAACCTAACGACATCTCGTCGTCACTGTGTGTTTTCTCTCTCTCAGGGTTTTTTTCACCGGCTGTTCTTGTTCAGATCTCACACTTCTTCCTGGCAGATAACCCCCCCCCCCCCCCCCCCGACGTCGATCTCTGAACCTCCTTCAAAACATCGTGTACTTCCTCTACTAGAACATCTGGATCCACAACCCTGAATCTAAACCCTCCATGGGTTCACACAAAAAAATGTCAGTTCAAGGTAGTATCATTCATGTTTTGTGGACTTAGACATAAATACAATCCAGACAGACAGAAACAAGATGATGAGCGTCTGATGTAGAAAATGCTCGACGACAGATGATTAAGTAGTCGTACAAAGATTATTGCAGTAATCTAAATAATAACTGGCGTAGGGGGAACTTGTCATCAGTTGTTTTCTCTCTCTCTCTCTCTCTCTCTCTCTCTCTCTCTCTCTCTCTCTCTCTCTCTCGAGCATGACTTCAAACATTTTTACAGATTGTTACTTGACAGGCTGCCAACAAATTCATTTAATCTCCCCTTGCAAAAGGAGAAGGCCGCACTGGACGGCCTGTTCTGCTGCGACGCACACAGACCTCGGCCTTCAGCTGAGGGGGGAGAAAGTGCTGAGGGGGGTTTCGTTTGGATCGAGAGTCATGCAGGTTTGTAAAAAAAAAATTAAAAAGAAGCTCTTGAGCCTTCCTTCACCTTCAAGACTTGGATGAAATGTTATAGCTCAAGGAGGCCACCTTGAGTACGGCTGTTTATCTTGCTCTGGAAGCAGTAAAAATTAAGAGAATAAAAATGATTTTAAATTTATGCGTTTTATTTAAAGGTGTTTCACAATCAGTTATGATTTCATTCGTACATTTATAGTGAAGAAAGCTCTATAAAGGGTTTATGGATATATTTTAGAAGAATGCTGCTCCATTGATGACAAACAGGTACATTTTGTGGCCCTCGCTCTTTGGATGAGAGTCCACAGCAGCGTGGAAGACTAGTGATTTTGTTGTTTTTTTGTGCTTAAACTGACAACAAGTCATTGTCTCCCTCACTGCTTTGAGACACAAAGCTGGAGCTCAGGCCAAACCTGCAGCATTCCTCTCTCAGAGTCACACACCAGGCTCTCATTTTACATTCAGTATAGATCCGGAATAAAAGTCCTTTTTTTTTTCTTTACAAAAAAATTATTCCTCGGAATAAGAGCAGTAATCACACCCTGATGTCGGACTATTGTGCACAGCAGGCCGAACTGGGTCAAGTCCAGATTAATCTCCGTGGGGAAGACAGACAATTTTGGGGTGAAAATTGGCTTCAAAGGTTTTGGAGTAATACTTATTTAATAGTGGTGTTTTTTTTAGCCTATGAAATTACATTTTGCAGTAAAAGACTTGTTTCTCATAAAAAAGGATAAATGTAACTTCCCAGTGGAACCATTTCATATGATTGAAGTCGTGGCCTACAGTAGTTATGGATAGTTATGACTGGACGTCCTTTACATGCAGCTTTATGAATCATTGCATGTGTTTTTATTCTGTGGTGTTAGAGTGATTTTCTTCCTGCAGTTGTCAATAAATCGTATCAGTTTCAACTGAAATGTCTTCAAGGTTTCTTCTGTGCAATAACTGCTTGTTTATTTATTTACTGTGCAATTACAGATTATTTATCTTTTCTAGTGTGCGATAACTGCCAACATATTCTTTCATTTACTGTGAAATAAAGGCTGACTTTATCATGCTTATTTATCGACTTATTTACGGTTACATTCTATCCGTATGAGACAGCAGCAAACGGGAAGTGGCTGAACCTGAGTGGTAAGAAACACATTTTCTGTGAGCTCATTTGTCTGAAGAAATGAGACACATATACATTAAGATGACCTTAAAGTATAGCTAATAAAAAAGTTTGACTGTCCTGATTAAAAGAGAAAAAATAAAGTGTGGAGAGGCAGTCTTAAACTGAAAGTCCGAGGCACTCTGATACCATATAAAAATCCTTTATTTGTCAGGGATTTATTTGTTTTCTTTTTACCTTAAAGTGTTTTTGAACACTGTTTGAACCATGTTTCTCATTCTGTATCCTCATGAGTTGTTTATTTAAAAATAAAATGTGTGTTTTTAGGTATTTCTGAGATTCAGATGGACCTGTTGAACATGCATATTCATGTGTTTCCTATCTGATTATTTTCTTACATTCCTGTGGGATTTATTTATTTTCTTTCCTGGGATATAAACTGGTTGAGGTCAAACCTGTTGAGCTCGTACACTCACAGATTAGTTCTGCTTATCATTCTGAATGTGCGTCCGGTTCATTATTAGCCTGAAGTCAATGATTCCATGAATTCAGGTTGATGTCATCAGCTGTGAGTTGGACTCCAGCCTATCTGACAGCCTGCATCTGAATATTGACCCATAAATGATGGAAAACATTGACGAGCCAAAGGTTAGAGGTAATGTTTCTATCGATTTTTACTTTCTATAAGTAACGGCCATCATATTGTGCCTCAATTTATTTCATTTCTACTTTATTACTTGACCTTTAGCTTCATATTGATTAACCTCTGTGCTCAGTATGCAAATGAAACTTCGCTGTGTCAAAATAAAAGATAAATCACCTCAAAACGATGACTTTCAAACCCCTTTATTGATGAAATTCAAGCATTACATCTCAGGTGACTCAGAGATGGAGGAGTACGACAGCTCAATGTTAGCACAAGCGCAGCTCAGATGTTTCCACAGCTGGAACGAACCACCGGAAGGCTTTTTTTACTGGGGGGGCATCAGGGCCTTGGTCTGTCCATGACCTGCTGGAGGAACTTCTCCAGCATGTCGGTCAGAGGTTTGACCTGCTCTTGGATGTTGTCGGTCAGGGGCTTGACCTGAATGTCGAAGGCGTCAGTCAGAGGCTTCATCTGCTCCTCCATGCTGGCGATGAAAGGCTTGATTTGCTCCTGCATCTTAGCGGCCTCGGCCTGGGCCTTCTCAACCAGAGGCTGGAGCTTGGCCTTGCTGTTCTCCATGTAAGTCCTGTGGAAGGAAGAGAGATTGAGAAACTTCTGTTAATCCCTGCTACTAACTCTGACGAGTATTTACATTTTTAAAAAATGAGCTCACACTGTCTGACCATTTCTATTTATAATTTTCTATCGTAATAAAAAGCTGAGGATGTCCGCTAATCACTACCAAACCAGGCCAACCAGAGTGGATCATCTCTGTATTAATGCATGTATGCAATGCAGGTAGTAGGTCGCAATCATGAGAGAATTATTGGAATAAAAACCTGTTTACCATCCGAGCAAGTCGCTAACTTTCAGGCTAACTTTCTACTTGAGATTATCTGTTTTAAATACATCATGCATCGTACTGTATCGTATCTCTTTCATCTTAACGAGAGACTGAAAATGACACACAAAGCTGTTTCCAAAGCTGCTTGTTCTGTATGTATTTGGGCAAAGCTTCAATTTAAAAAAAGGACAGTTGTTGTGAATAAAGTATCAACAACGTGCATGCATTCAGTGCAGAATGAGTGCACGTTAACTGTACGGAAAACAAGACATTTCATCGATACAGACTTTAGAGCATATATTGTCTTTTCTGTCAGGTTAACATTTTACTAAGCATCACAGAAGGTTCAGGCTGAAGAAGGATTTGATCGCGATATTAAAATTACAATCAAATCTGCTGCAGGAAAGTGAGCCCTTAACTTTGATCTATTGTTCAGAGGGCGTGTTAGCTGTGATGATATCATGAGTTGACATCGATGACTGAATCTCAACAAACATGATTAAAACAAAGGAAAGGCTTCTGTCGTCTTTTCATGATACAAGCTGACTAAATGAATCACAGTAGGTGTCAGTTGGAGTTCAAGCAGTAAAGACAAAGGCGGTGGAGGTTTCTGCTACTTACTGGGCGGTGTTGGTCACATCCAGAGCTTTCACCTGATCCACCAGTTCCTGGGTTGTGGCGGTGAGGCTGGCAGACATGTCGTTGATGAGACCTGTGATCTTGTCCACATCAGCCTGGACGTCACGCTTCACCAATGAGCCGGCATCAGAGCCTGAAAATACACATTCACCGCTCTTAATCTGAATCCTCTGCATCATTCAATCCAAAAAGAAACACTGCAGGAAACAGAGACGGCTACAAATATGATCAGTGATGCTTTTAAACCAGCAGACTGACGTTTACAATTGCACACATGATTAGAGTTCTTCTCAGCCATTTAATTCGATTGATTTCCAGATGTTGATGTAAACTTTCACGGTTTTCCTCAGAGTCAGAATGGTCTGAGCTTTTCAAAATTTGTAACACTAAATCCAAAATGCGCATATTCTAAATAACAGCGTTAAAATCAGAGCCGTGTTTCGCACGTCAAAAAGTCAAGATTTTGTTTGGCATACAATGAAGCAAATCTAATGAGGTTCATTTAAATGTGTGTGTTTTCCAATCTGTGAAAATGTGTCTTACCGTGGGCAACAGCCAGGACAACAACAAGAGCGGCGACGAGGGAGAATTTCATGGCTGCAGATGAGCTAGACCAACCTGGAGAAAGTTCAAGGATCAGTCAGAAAACATTGAAAGTTGCAGAAAACAGAATAAAAGATGTCGTTCTAAACCGACTAATACTAATAGATGCATGATACTAACGTTACAAACAATACATCTGATTCCACAGCCATGCAAAGAATAATGAAACAGCAGAGTGAAGCAGGCAGCGACGTACCTTAACTCCTTGGGGTTTCTTGGACCAAATGGTGCCTTCTGTCAGCGAGTGAGAGGCTTATAAAGCCCCCAGGGGGAGGGGGGGGCGAGTTCAGTTAATCAAGGCTAATCAGGATTTAATCACTTCTTCCAACGTAAAGAAGTGACATGACACAAAGAGTACTGAACCTTGATGCTTGTTATGTGTCACAAGAACAGACACAAAGTCCTCTCTGACTGATGACTTCTGTGACCTGAAACTTTATCTCAAGAAGTGAACTGAAGTGAGGCAACTGTACTTTTGGAGTGTTTCACTCACATGCTGCAGATCTCATGAGCTCTACGATATTTACAAGAGGACGTACAGTATAATGCTTTTTACTCCCCGTACTGATGGTTGTACGTAGTGGTAACATTGAAAATCAAAGGTACCTCATCACTACAACCAGGCCCTGAAAAATAAAGGACAAAAAACCTGTCCTGTGGCATCTCTCAACCTCTGTAGTTTTAGAGCTTAATGCATTTATGTTTCCTCAAACTAGATTTAGAATGTATCAACAATCCTCCAGATGCGTTCAAAGACAGGACAGTAACAGGGTAACAAGAAGCACAGTGACTGGAAACTGGAACATACAACACAGTACTTCTACATTTGGTTGATCTGCGATCTCCATCGAAGGCTGTAAACTCTGGAACACATGAAACACCTGAGCTCAAATTAAAAAGGTGAAATGTTGGCTGAAATCAAACCAGAGCTGTACACACGTTTAAATTGTATCTTAAATCTGTAACGTTAACTGTGTTTATAGCATTTGTATTGTCATATTGTTTTGTATGTATTTGAATGTATCCTCATACAGTGTTATGTGGTTTTATGTGATCGAATGTTGTACATGTTTACTCTGTTTGTTTACACAAAGGCCTGAATAGGGACAAGAGTTGGAAATTAGCTAACTCTCTGTGCAGCACATCGTTTTCATGCTCTGTAATGAAACTATGTTAAATGGCATTCTCCCTATTAAATAAATAAATGAAATTCGATACCAACACAAATATGACAGAATTTAACATTTTAACTACCAAACAATAAGTTATTAGTATTTAGCTCTGTTTCAACCAGCTATAACCCCAAACAGTAATGGTTAATAGACTTGAGCTTGTAGCGCTTTCTAGTCTTAAGCGCTTTTACACCACAGGTCACATCTACATATTCACACACTGATGGCAGAGGTTTCTATGTAAAGTGACCATCTGAAGTAACTAATCACACTCATACGCTGCCGCCAAAGCAGCGGGAGCAACTTGGGGTTAAGTGTCTTGCCCAATGACACATCAGACATGTTGCTGCAGGAGCTGGGGATCAACCCTTAACCGTCTAGTTGAGAGACGACCGACTCTACCAACTCAGCCACAAGCACTGAGACATAAAGGAACATGCAACATATCGACATGTAAATATACTTTTTTTATAAATGTGTGGCTTCCAATTAAAGTCATCACACAAAGTACATCTCAGATGACTCCAAATGGTCTGAAACATGCTCCTCTTAAAAAGGGGACTCAAATTTCCAACATCCAACTTGAATTTATAGTAAATCAGATTAAATTCACAATGTGTCATGTGCCATCCTAAAGCTTTAATTTGCACTTAAAACCATTAAAGTACAAAAGGCGTAGAAATACACAAGTGTATTTTTTTCATCCGACTTCTTCTGAACATATACTGTTGTATTTTGTTAGATTCTGCAAATCAAATTGTTACATATATTTACTTTTCTACGAAGGAGTATTAAGGTAAAAGCACACAGATTTTGAGATTAAAGTCATAAATCTACGAGAATAAAGTCGTTATTTTATAGTTTTATCAGAAGAGCAGCAGTCTTTATGAAAATGAGGAACATGGAGCATCTTGTGAAGTTATACTTGAAAAGAAAATATGTCCTTGTGTCGTCTGTAACACAGATTGAATACTAACTCTCTGAGGAATGACCCTAACCCTAACCCTAAACCTTAAAACAACAGTTTAAGGTCTCTAAATATCCCATTAGTCGTGTTGGGTCTTTACGGATGCAGATGTGAAACTACACATTCTTTTGGCACATCAGCATCACATTGTCATGAGTATCAGGACCCTGAAAAGAAACTGCAACACACTGGGGCTTTCCCCTGAGAAAGAACCGCACTGACTTAAATTTACGGCTTTCATCTGGAAGTTTTAGAATCTTTTTTTTTTCTTTGACATGGCCCTGATACTCTGTGTTACTTTTCAAATCTTCTCTGTTATTGTTATATTTTTATTGAGAAGACTCTGAAGGAGTCTACACCTTGATGTCAAACCTTTTTATTTTGCACAATAAGACATGCAGCAAGAGGCGACCCAAAGACACTAGAAAACATATTTTTAATTTCATTTTCAATTTGATTTTTTTTTTTTTTATCACCTCAGTTGTGCAGCACTTTAGTCATCATGAGTTGTCTTTGACTGTACTTCATAAATCTTTGACTTTAGTCAGTTCACACATTGGTTGTACAAGTATAAAGACAGAGGCAGAAAGAGGCAGGAGAGAGCAAGAAAGCTGTTTTCAGTGGGTCCCGAACATGTGACTGGGAAGAAAATGTCTATGAAGTGCTGTTAAAACATGTTGGTTTTGTTTCTTCTCTTTGTTCTGCCATCTGAGGTCTAAACTGCACTGTTTTTCATTCAATAAATCGGATTAGTTGAAAAAAAGATCCGAAATTTGGGTCATGGTTTTCATGAAGGAGTTGGTGGTGGGTCCTTAGACCAGTTGAGAACCAGTGCTTTAGAGGTCTTAGTACAGGACACTGAACAGAGGGGCTGTTGATGAGACAGTTTCTCAGTCGTTCTGACCTTTGACAACAATCTGGTTAATCATATCAGCTCATACTGAATGTACAGTGGCTGAAGGCAGCACCTGATAAACTCATCACTGACGATACACAGTGAGTCATACTGTAGTTCCTGTGTGATAATGCTGGAGCTTTTTGAATGCATATTAAATAAAACCACAACACCTCTGTTCCTCTAAAGATGCATCGACAAAGAATCAAAAGGTAAAAATCAGAGTATGTGCTGTCAGTGTATACTTTGAGTACATTCTCAGTGTTTAAAATAACAGATTGCATTAGTCTCTTTTGTATTCTAAGGTTGAACATTGCGTGTCACCATGGAAACCCTCTCGTCCATTTGTTCTTGGAGCTCTTGATATTTTACCGCACTCTTTGTTCGGGAACAATGAGGAAAACAAAGCAACGTTCTCATGTCTTAAGGAGACTTAAAGGAAGAAGAAGTCGTAGACTGTGGGAAGATTTCAGAGTTTGAACGTCTGCTTGCGGAGTGACTGAAGAGTTTGTCTTTTAAGGCAGACATGAGGAAGGAAAAGGTCTGGGCAAGCTCGAAAGGAGCGGGGGCGCCGGTAGCCTATGTGATTAGTGCGCACGCCCCCATGTACGGAACCTGTGGCTCCTTTCCTGCATGTTTGTTCCCACCCAATTTCTGACTCTATCCACGGTCCTTTCTCTAAATAAAGGCCAAAAAAGCCCCAAAAATAAAGCTTCAAAAAAGCTTGACAGGATCTTTAAGATCAACATAATGAATGAGAGGAGAGATTCAGCAGGTTGTTGGCACTGAATAACTGGCTTACAACTGCATGTAATGCCCATTCAGTGAATTTTATTAACAATTTTAACATTTTCTGGGAATGCAGACATCTTTTTAAGGCAGATGGATTTTGCTTGAACATGTCAGGGGTGAAACTGTTCACCTCTAACCTATTTTACTCCCTGCCTCAACCATCAGTTATCTCTGCCAAGGACATGAGACAAAAGAAAGCAGCTTTCAAGAAAGACAAAACACAGCGGGATGAAAACCTTTGTCAAGAATCACGTCTGCCAGTATCTGAGGAGAGACCTAAAGAGGAGAGACATCGGAACCAAGAGACCAAGATAAGGATGAAATGCAGAACGTTCAGAGGTCAAACTGATATGTTTTGGGTCCAGGCTGCAAGGATATCAGCAGTCATGACTCTCTCCAGGATAAGGCGGGGCCCTGCATGTCAGTAGGTTCCAAAATCTCTGTGATGATAGGTAATAGAAGAATAAAGGGGACTCTGCCAAGAAACAAAAGGCAGTTGTGTGATTTTGCAAACTTGTCAAACTTAGCATCCATTCCTTTTGAGCCACAACCTGTCCCAAAAACGTTAGCAGATGAAGCTTCTAGGACCCTAAAGCTGGCTCTACTGAACATTAGATCACTGGCAGGGAAATCATTTTTAATCAATGATTTTATTATTGAGCACAAGCTTGATTTTATGTTTTTAACCGAAACTTAGTTAGACCAAAATAACAGTGCAGCTGTTCTTATCGAGTCAACTCCTCCCAACTTCAGTTTTGTAAGAGGCTAGAGTGCATAAGAGAGGAGGAGGAGTTGCAGTTTTGTTTAATGACTCCTTCCAGTGTAAGCAATTATCTTTTGGAAATGTTGCTTCTTTTGAATATGTGGCCCTTCAGTCCACCCCCAGAGCCATGTTCCTAAATATTTACAGGCCACCTAAATACTGTGCAAACTTTTTCGATGATTTCACTGAACTGTTGTCTGTGATCTGTATTGACTTTGACTGTGTTATTATTGTTGGTGATTTTAACATCCATATTGATAACCCCCAGGACAGAGGGACTAAAGAACTGCTTCACACTCTTGATAGCTTTGGGCTGACTCAGCACGTGACAGAGCCCACACACAACAGAGGGCACACTCTGGACTTAATCATCTCCAAGGACTTGGACATCTCCAAGGTTGTTGTTTCAGATGTTACCCTCTCTGATCACTCCTGTGTTTTATTTGTCAGCGTACAAAAGTATTCAAACAAAAGTGATCACAAAACGGTGTATCACTGAAAACACCAGTGAAATATTTAACCAGGTTTTCTCTTCCACAGCTGCCCTGTCCTGGGGATCAGTCAGTGAGTTGGTAAATAACTTTAATTCTAAAATCACAAATGTTATTGATTCCATTGCTCCCACTAAGGTGAAGGTTGTCTCTGGTAGAAAAAATCTCCATGGAGAAATTCGACACTGGTAAGAAACAGAAAAAGAGATTGTCGAAAAGCTGAACGCAGGTGGTGTATAACTAATCTCCAGATTCATTATGACATCTACAAAGAGAGACTTCACACTTATAATTCACAACTGAGGAATGCAAGGCAATCTTTCTTCCCTGACATCATCACCAGAAACAATAATAATGCTTGTGCCCTGTTTGCTACTGTGGACAGGCTAACAAACCCTCCTGTGTCAATAGCATCTGAATTTCATTCTACCAGGGCCTGACCTCCTGATTAATTACAAACCTTCCAGACCGCTAAGGTCGTCTGGGACAGGTTTGCCCTCTGTCCCCAAACATGGCGTTCAGTTTCTATGCTCCTTATATCTGGAACAAACTCCCAGAAAACTGCAGATCTGCTGAAACTCTCAGCTCTTTTAAATCCAGGTTGAAGACACACCTGTTTACAGCTGCCTTTCATTAAACAATTTTAATAAGATTTTAAATTTTAACTCTGCACTGTAACTTTTAACTCTTTTTAATTGTTTTTCTTTATTTATTTCAATTAATTTCATTTGAATTATTTTTATTTGAACATATTTTCAGATTTAATCATTTCAGTGATTTTAAAATTTTCTATTTTAATGTTTCTTTTCTTTCCTCTGTCATGATGCTTTTGATGTCTTGTGTGAAGCACTTTGAATTGCCTTGTTGTTGAAATGTGCTATAGAAATAAACTTGCCTTGCCTTGCCTTATGAAATCTAAATTTGTGGTGTTCTTGGTAAAAGTAAAAAAAAATTAAAAAAAGTTTTTCAAAATGTAAATTTGTCTCAAATTTTTGTAGTGCAGTGTTTCACACTTTAATTTTGCTTTGCACTTCCCAGCCACCGTAATTTAGCATCAATTCATAACAAATACTATCTCAGGACACATTACAGAGAGAGCAGGTCTATACCATAGTTCTCTATTTTATTATTAACAAAGACTCAGCTTTAATCCACCATGAGCACAGCAACTTGTAGCAACAGTGGCAGGAAAAAAAACTTCTCTAAGGTGTATCAGTTGAACTTAAGTGAACCCACAACATGATATATATCACACACCGGTGTGAGTGCGCTTCAAGTGCAACATCGTGATAAATGCTTGTGAACATAAAACAAACCTTTGTCCCTTCTCAAGACCCCAGAAACACCTTTCACTCATAAACTCCTAGGATCTCTCCAGTAAGGTTCAAGATGAAGTACCTGACATTGGCCACTGGATGGCAACCCTGCAAATCATTCAGCGCTGTCACATCTGCACAAAACTCCTAAAACAAACCTCCTGAAATTTTTGGGGTTTGTAACACATGTGAACACAAACAAATACTTTTTTTTCTTTTTTATATGGCCACATTTTTTAAATGTTTTTTCCACATGTTTCACAACAATACAAAACAATCAATGATGTACTGTTATCATACCTGCACATCTGCACAGCTTCTCCACTCTGCACCTTTTGTACATTTTTATATTCTATTACACATTTTTAGATTGCTTTTTTGGATATTTTTTTAATCTTACTCTATTTAAGTTGACAGCAGGAGCACTGCTGTTTTATAGCTTCTTACTATTTTTGCTTTAATCTTTCGCACCAAAACACCAAGTAGAATTCCTCGTATGTGTAAATGTACTTGCCAAAAAAAAAAAAAAAACGATCGAAGAAAGACATTCCCAGCACAATCCAGATCAGCCCATTTCTGTCACTTGATCAAACTCACCACCAGATGGCGATCAAATGACTAAACCTGAATCATGACCCGAAGAACAGAACAAGCAGCCTCAATAAAAGGACCATGAGTCTGTGTGAATGTTTGGGAGCCCTCTGTTGGCCATGATGTTTATTTCAAAGTGTGGCTGGTTCCTATGAGTTTTACTCCATGCAAGAGTCTAGTGACATCATGAACCAATCCTAGAGGGCCCTATAGTCACCAACCTTTCTTTTATGAAGTTGTGTGGTAGGCCTACTTAGTCTGCTGCTACTGAGGCTGTTCATGGGGATGTGGGTGGATAGCGGAATCAAAAACAGGCCTAGAGGTTAAAATAATTAATTTGTTTACTTAATCAGAAAATGATTTCAGTAAACACCTAGGCTGTATGTTTTGTTAATTAGCCTAATGTCTTGTGAAAGAGGGGCGGATTATAGCCTATAACAGGGATGGGCAACTTTGGTCACAGCAAGGGCCACATTCATTTAATTCTGACTGCCAGGGGGCAAAATTGTAGTATACAAAAACAATTACAGTCAATAATGTCTCAAATTTAACTCAACATATACCAGTGATCAAATATTATTATGGAAGTATTTCTGGTTTTCATGATTTCATGGCAGATTTTGCCATGTTTTCTTCATGTTTTGATATATAAAAATTTACCTGAGGGCCGCATGTGGCCCCCGGGCCAGAGATTATTCTTCTTTCTGCTCCTTTTCATTCAAGATTTTAGATTTTATGTCTGTATTTAACTATATTGTTTGGTCGATGAATGAAATAAATGTACAAATAAAATGAATAAATATGTAGGCCTAGGCGATATCATGTTGGTCTCTCGTGCAAAACTGGAGAGTTGTTTGTTATATTTGGAGAGAAAAACGCTCATACCTGTAGATAGTCTCTAAAAACTAGATAGGCAGACTTATATTTACATTTATAGCAAAGGTTAAGTCAAACACAACATGAAGTCAGAGGGTCTTTGTTGCAAAGTAGAAACAATGTATTTGTTGGCTGTTGAAGTTGGTAGATATAAAAACATCTACGAGTCAAAATGTTGAGAAGGAGTCAAATTCTCGTCTGCATAGTAATAATTATTGATGAACTAATTGATTGATGGGGGGGGGGTAAGTGAAGAAAAACTCGGGCGAAAACAAGTGTGATGAAAGTAAACTACTTACCTTTACGTATCCTGGCAACATCCGCCAAACGGGGTTTGCTCTTCCTGCGCACGCATCATCTCACGTTCAGAGGTTCAGACACAGACAGACATCATGGCGGACGTGTTGGACCTTCATGAAGCGGGAGGAGAGGACTTTCCTATGGACGAGGATGGTGATGGTAACATTATTTCTTAAAAGAAAAACGTGTTGGCAGCAGATTCTCCATAACCACAGCTTTCACATTACGTGTGGAGGTTGAGGTCTAACGTTTCATTGAAAGAAAAAAAAGGCCGTGGTCGAAAATGCATCAAACGCTTCCTGCGTGGTAGTAGGCCTGAGAAATGCTAACAAGCTAATATGAAGCTAATAAACACGCTGGTGGTTCATTCAGACTGGCTTTGTAAGATAGCTACTTAGTTATTGTCCATTCCTATTACTCCTATTTCGCGCAATAATTACGAAACGTTTATAGTGTTTCCTATCGTGTAAGAAGAATTTACATGACATTTAGTTTGGTTCACTTTTAGCATGCTACATGCTACTGCTGCTAACATGGCGGTTAAGTCTGCCTGCAACTTTCTGCTTACTGTTAGTTACATAAACACAACTTGTTGTTTTAAGGTTATGTATCCCACAGACGTGTCTAATAGTGTAGCTCCTGTCGCGTTAGTTGTGGCTGATATTTGAGCAGAATACACAAAGAAACAGTAACTCACTGATGTTGAAAATTGTTGTTTCTACGTTTTAATTTTGTTTACCTTTTCCTCCACAGAGAGCATCCATAAGTTAAAGGAGAAGGCCAAGAGGAGGAAAGGACGAGGCTTCGGCTCAGGTGAGTCACCACTCAGCTAGGGGTTTAAGTTATTTTAACACGCTTTAACACAGTTTGTAATACAGTTTGTTTTGTGTTGTTTATTCCAGAGGAAGGTGCCAGGTCCAGAATCAAAGAGGACTATGATACTGTTGAACAGGACGGGGACGAGCCAGGCCCTCAGAGATGTAAGTTTTCCACATCGTACAAATTCTTTTGGTTTGTTGATAAATTTGTACATTTCAATTCAATTTCTTGTTGTAGGTCGAGATTAATTATTTTATATTAATTAATAGATACATAATTAATTACAGTACCGTCTCGTATTTGTAGGATGGTAATGTTTGCAATATCTGTATATATTTTTTTAAGACAAGTTGACTCAAATTTTAGTTTTTCTGTTAGGCTTTTCTTTAATTATAAATAAATAATATTATGTTCTAAAATGCCCATTTAAGATAAGATGAAATATACTTATTCATCCCAGCAGGGAAATTTAGGTGTTCCAGCAGCCAGCATACATACAAACACACAACACATATATACATACATATCCCACCCATACAAAAAAAACATGAGCCCACAATACAATTTGTGCCTGAGCTCAATTTTACACCACAAAAGTAATGACCATAACTGCTGTAGGTAGATGAGAAAAGTAAAGGGCATGTTGCATGTGCACATGCCATTTGTTTTTTGAAAACTCAAGTATCAATTTTTTTTTTTATACACAATGCCAACATTTTATCTTCATTTTGAAAACAGAGTAGAATTTGTGACTTTCTCCCCTCAATTAAAAAAACATCTCTGAATCAGTAGCAAGGTGTACTAGACACAAGCATCACTGGTAAATGTATACGACACAGCCGATTCATGTAACATTATATGCCGTTGTCAGCAGGGGCTTGTTTCCATATACCACTGCACATTGAAGGTCATGGTTCAGAACAACCATATAGCATACTGACTTGTAGATATCCTTTTTCTGGGATAGGGGACACCAAATCTATTTTCCATGTTTACTTTGTTACATGCTGAAGATAGAATATAATTTCTTTAGTGTTTTTTTTTTTTTTAACATAAAAGGCACAAGCTAGATCTTGTTAGGCTTCTTAGTTATACCAGTTATATTTGTTAATTTTGCAATGTTATGAGAGCCTTATTTATGATTTAACCCCTGAAGCCATTTTTTCTTCATCTCGTTGCAGCTGTGGAGGGCTGGATCCTTTTTGTGACAGGTGTACACGAAGAGGCCACAGAGGAAGACATCCATGACAAGTTTTCAGAGTTTGGAGAAATCAAGAACCTGCATCTCAATCTTGACCGCAGAACAGGCTACCTCAAGGTGAGAATAACCATGTATCATGTTTGTTTCCTTCATTTAATGGAAGAGATGTTTATATTAAATTAATGTACCGGTGAAACGATTGTTTTGGAAACACAAAAAATATGTCATGATAGATATATTTAAAAAGAAACTTCTTTTAGAAACGTCCCTTGCCTTATTCACGAAAAAAAATTGCAGAAATTATAAATAACCACATATAAGCAGGTTTTATTTGTAATTGGATTTTATTGTGCACATGTTACCCTTCCTAAAAAAGAAGATTTAAGTAACCTGGCATGGGTAAACAAAAATAGGAAAAAATTGTGATCAGAAATTGTATCCGCGCGTATGGAGGCTATGGTTCTCCAAGCGGACGGCCCAGGTTTGAGTCCCACCTGTGGCTCCTTTCCCGCATGTCGTTGCCCACTCTCTCTCCATGATTTTTGACTCTATCCACTGGCCTATCTCTCCATTAAAGGCCCAAAATAAATCTTTAAAAAAGAAGGTGAAAGAAATAAAAAGATGCTTGGATTTTCTGAGGGTAGTTTGAACAAGAATCATGTTTACACCACCAGGAAATAAACATCTGTTCTGGTTCTTCTGAATCGCGCTGCTTGTTGCCCAATACTCCTGAGGAGTTTTTGATTGTTTATGAAATGGTCTGAATTGAGTAGTAATCTAGAGAACATCAGAGACTACATTAATTGTTTCTGTTGGGAATTTTTAAATATGCTGGGGAATATGTTTCAGACAGGATGATATATAGCCCGCTGAAGAAACAGCCTTTTAACTTTTACTACAGCAAAGATTCAACATTCGACTGTTAGAAGGATACAGGAAGGTTTTTTGTTTGGTTGTGGCAGGGGTGCAAACTTGTCACCTTTCGGCGAAATTCGCCATTTTGTCCCTTCGAACGTCAAGTCGTTTCATACTGACTGTGGTCAGAGCGCTCAGTGCTCAACACAGCCTGAAGAAAGTAAGCTAATTCAGGGTCCTGTAGCCAATCATTGCAACGCGGTCGGCGTGAACCCGTCCGCGTTCAGTGTTTCCCCTACCATTATATTAGGGGGTGGCCCGCCCCCCTTGGAGGTCAAGTGTTTGGGTTTTTTTTGTTTTAAGATTATTTCTTTGCTGTTTTGTGCCTTTTATTGTAGAGATATGATAGCGGATAGAGTCGGAAATCAGGGAAAGAAGTCATTTAAGGATACCTTTTTGATAGAAAAGGACAGCTGTCATAACAAGTACACATGAACACCAAGATTCCTTCAAGTGTTTGTGTCGGCGTGTCCAGCAGATGTCGCCCTTGAGCACCAGCATGAAACCAAAACAACTCACGGGGCATTGTTGTGTTAGCATGCTAATGCTAGCGATCTTTATTGTGCTTGTATCTTCACACTGCATGTAAATTTAGAAACGCAGTTAAGCAGTGAGTACAGTATGTTATTCTTCTTTTCTCTAGTCCTTCAATTAAACAACTTTTATTCGTGAGGGGAGTAGTCAGCCGTCGTCCTGGCAATGTCAACAAACTGAAAATATGAATCGGAAAACGTCACAGACAGTGGGACTCTGGTGTTACACCCATTGTAGACAGTCATTACTCAAAGTTATTTTCGGAGGATATGCTTGATTTCTATTATATTTAAGTGTGAAAAATCGCATTTAAAGCCTTTAAGGTAGGCCAGAGGGAATATAAACTTAATGAAAACCAGCAGGAGCAAAACATCAGGTTAATATATTGAAAATGTTACATATTTTATGATAGAAGAGAAAGTATTACCATACTTGATGACTGTATTATTATGCTCTCAGACTCTTGTCTTGAAAGCTACTTGCATACTGCATATTGACTGCCCTTCACATCACCCCTTAGTAGAACATGGTAAGCCCTGTTCTGCAAATTCATCCCATTTATAAAAAGGGACTCAAGGTTGGAGCTCAGGTTTTTCATGTTTCACTGAAGCTTTATCAAAAAGTTAGAACAGAACATAGATATCGACAAGCAATTGTGTTTTTCTTATTGTTTGCAAGGCTTCTTTAGTAGGTCTAATTGCTAAAATCGTCTGTAAATTAACATTTAAAGTTGATATTAAAAAAAAAAAAAATCTTCCTGGAGGTGCATGCCCCCAGACCCCCTAGGAGGTTTGGATACATGTCACCTTTTTCATCCCAGATGAGTTTGCACCCCTGTTGTGAGTAAACACTACCTAAGCATGATTGGAACAAGACAAGCAACAGTTTAGAGATATCGCTTTGTCTGAAGGGGGAACAAAAGGAACACAAGTTGAGATTTGGGCTATAAATGGTGAGTTAAGTAGATAACCACGTGATAGGTTTTTGTAAACAAAGCACTTTTGCCAGATATCCACCAATGTCATATTTTAGCTCTGCTGCTGTAACAGAGGGGAGACGGACCAAACATGCATCTGGTGGAATTTGGGCTTACGTGAAACATTTGAGCCCGCTCAAAATTATAGTTTTATACCAGTGGCTGAGAAAGTTTACAAGTATAACATATTCAAACAGGGAACGATACGCATATTCAATTAGACACCCAATTCAGCAGCGTTAAATATGTTATCAACAAATCAACTTATTGTCCCTTTGTTTTCATCCTATCAAAACAATGTGGTACAAGTCACCTTTTCTTCAAGCCATAAGGGGGCAGCAGAGTTTAGAGTAAGAAAAAAGCATCATTGGATATTAACTGTTTCCTCCTGTGTGTCAGGCTAAGGAAAGTCAGATTTTATTACAGGCTGTTTGTAGATTGAAAATGTTGTAGAAATCATGAATTTTAGTGCATTGTTGGCTTTGCTTTTGCAGTATGTAAGTTTGGTTTGAGCTTTGACGTTAGTCAGCGTTAAGTATACTGATAATTATATCTAATCGATCAGTAGCCGTGTCTAATGTACTGTTAAGCTTTTTAACCTGTGCAGAAATCAAAATCATAATAATTGCGGTCAAAAAAAGGATCCCAGTAACACGCTACTACGTTATTTTTTACACACCTTGCATTAATGAAACACACAATAAAACACCTTTCTTTTTTCTTTTAAAGATTTATTTTTGGGCCATTATTGTAGAGAAGGGATAGTCAATACAGTTGGAAATAGGGGAGAGAGAAAGGGAGAATGTTAGCAAGAAAGGAGCCGCAGGTCGGACTCGTACCCAGATCGCCCGCTTGGAGGACACTAACCACTATGCTACAGGCAACCCAATAATTAAACACCTTTCTTTTTACAACTGAGAATTCCTTACACTTAGAATTTATTTTAACGAGACCTGTGAAATGTTTCTTAATGTGCACAGTCTCACATCATGTCCTGATTACCGTCCTTAGGGTTATGCATTGGTGGAGTATGAGACGTACAAAGAAGCCCAGGCAGCCATGGAAGGGCTCAACGGTCAAGACCTGATGGGCCAACCTATTAGTGTCGACTGGGGATTCGTCAGAGGCCCCCCTAAGAACAAGAGGAGGTAAGGGGGCTGTGTGTTTGGAACATATAGTTATATGGTAATATTGATGGGATTCAATCATGTTTGTTTTTTTTCATACTAAACTATTCCCTGATATTTAAAGTTCTTTCAATTTTTAAGTTCTGTCAAGATAAATGAATGAATTGGATTAGTTTTATTGCACTTAAAATATGTCCCTTAATATCATAATTTGTTTTGCTTTTACAGGACTGGTGGACGGAGACGCAGCAGAAGTCCAGACAGGAGGCGGCGTTGAGTTTGACAGTTATCAGTGGCCAGAGGAGTTGCCTGTCACTTCCGACGGACACTTTAAATACCTGTCATCCTCTCATAAGAATCTAATTCCTGTTTAGTTTTTTTGTACACTATTTGTGGATCTATTTGTGCTATTCCTTATCCACTTGTTTTTTGTAAGATGTTTATGCTGTTTTACAATTCAACAGAAAGATATCAACACAGCACAGTCAAAGTAGTTTTAACTTGTAGCTCATACATTTTGATGCTTTTCTTGATTCCCTTCATTGTTGTTTCAGTTTGCTCAATGTAACGTACATTTTATTGTGCGGAAAGTGTTTTGTTTGATTACTTGGGTAAATATTAAACTTTTTTTAAAACTTCAATGAGTGATCTGTGTGTGTGTGTTTTATTTAGCACCGTTAATGACGTAGGGTTTACATCATCCTAGATGACCTCATCCGGGCAGTGAAGCCGCCCCGGCTATTTTGTCCACTCTAAAGCACCTGTCACTCTGGGTTCAGTGACACACTCATAGGCTGTTCGGACTAAACCCTTTGCCCCTCATCTTTCTACAGCCAATTGGCAAACGCATGCCTTGTACTCTGTCGATCTCATTTGGTGTTTACTCTATCGGGGAGCATCAGTCAAAGACCCCGAGGATGACCATTGGAGCTTCGGAACGTCAATGAATCTGAATCTCGCTCTGATTGGTTGTCTCCCCTAAGGGGGCGGGCTTAACTCTTCGGTTGACGTTGTTGTTGTAAGTGGTGGAGAAATTACTTTGTCGGTGGCGGTCCGGTTTGGGATTTTACGCCTAATTCCACCTATGGAGATGCTAAAAAGTTAGGAAGTGTTGCTCCTGGGAACGTATCTAATATTCACAAGTTGAAACTTGCTGGAAAACCACATGGGACGAAGAAAAAAAACATCTGCGAGGCCGTCCAAGGTAAGCAGTAAAGGGATACTCTTTGCTACCAGCGCTAGCTAACGTTAGCTGCTGATTAGCCAGGCTTGAAGTAGCCACTTGCTAGCCAAACGTCACGGTTCGCTTCACTTATTTACAAACGAGCACAACTAATTTGTTAAAAAGCAATCATGCACATGCATTGCAGCTTTCCGAGGATACCATACGATAGCACATTCGGCGGATTTAAAGTTACTGGGATGAGTGTGAACGTCTCATGAACCCCATGCGTTTGAACGCCTCAAATGCGTTTATGTAAGCATGTGTATTGTTCGTTGATATTTAGTCGTAGCCTTACATCCGTCTCAGAGTCAGCATTTAGAGACGAGCAATCAATACAAGCATTAATCTGCATCAATTTGTAGTGGAGTGAATGGATGCTGTAGATCACATTATCTTTATGACCTGTCAGCTGTGCAGTGTAAATACTGCATATCAAAGTTTTTTTCTGACTGGTAGATAAGTCATTCACTGGCTGTTTTATCAGTTATGTTTCCTCTCTATTTAGTAGGAAATTAAATATTATTTGGCTTGTTTTTTTGAGGGATATCGAGAGAGAGCTGGCAGTCACGATCCAGATTATCTGGAGTCCAGTTTGTATTTCAGGTGCGTGTGTGATGTAACATTTGCTTAAAGCACCAGCTTAGAGGGGAAAACATGTTTACACTCATTCACCATTATTTCATAAGCATCAAGACTGCTTGCATTGAGATTACCTCAAGAGGAAAACTTGATTGTGTGAGGTAATTTAGCAGCACTGTAAGGCTTTTATTCTGCCAGGTATGTGACTACTTTGTGAGCTGGCTGCTGGTCATTTGAGTTCAGCCCTCCCGTGCTCGTTTTGTAACGAGGACTGGTTTTATTTGCCATCATTTCCAGTATCACCACTATGAGAGAGTGTTGCCTTACACCTCCCCTTGAATTATTCAGGTTCCTCAGTTTGTGGGCTCCTTTTGTTTGCTTGGACACCATCACACACAGTCAACATCACTTAAATGTGGGCCGGAGATACAAGTGCTTTACACTCTGTACTTGGCCCACTGGGCAATGTTGACGTTGTTTAAAAAAAAAAAAAGCCGAAACCTGAATGTAGGAACTCCACTGTTAGTTAGGTTGATTGAATTTCAAGGAGCTAGGTGTTGTGTGTAGAAGCAAAAACAACCAACCTTCACAGCTGTCCTAACAGTTTATAAAGGCGATAGGGGATGATGTCTGAAATGATGTGCTCAACTGCGTAACACTTGGGATTTTATATCACAAGTTTTATCACATTACAATAACATGATATTTGCAGATATAATTCATGGTTGCCTACAGCTGGAAATTAGCCGCAAAGGCTAAAGCCGCTCCTTTTACAGTGCAGTTAACTAAAGCTAAACTAAATCAGAAAGTCTTTCATGATACCAGTATATTGATTAAATTAAGCTTTCTATCGATATGAGACGGTTATTTCTTACATGAATATTTAATCACACAAAACTTAATTTAACAAACTTTAATACTGACCTCCTATTTAAATGAATTAAAATAACTATTCTTGAAGATGTAAAGCCCTTATAGGCTGATTGCTAAGTTAGTGTGTTTGGACAGTAAGTAAAATGTCTGATCATTAAAATATCTGTCCATGTTAATAGATTGTTTCACACCTGCTCTTAGTAAGAATAAACTACCAGATTAGTGCTTACCAAAATAACTGGTTGGTCTATTCTGCTTGTCACAGTGCAGGTATTGTTCCTATGATGAATGTTTCCTATTTCTGGATCATAAATTAATTTAAAGTTGCCTCTCAGCCTGGGGATCCACCGAGTTTTGTAGCACAAATATGAGAAGGTGTTTTACTTCCCTGATGCAAAGACTGTGAGGCAGCGTGAGCTTGCAATGTCTGTCGGGCTTCATTATGCAAGGCCTCAACACTTCAAGGAACATATTGATGCATACAGCTGCACATAGAGCACCTCAGGCATGTGTTTCAAGTAGGATGTAGCATCCACCCCTTTAATGCAATTTAGATTCCAAACTGTCAGTGTGACGAAGGACTCAGATCATAGGAAATATGTGCTTTTATTCACCCTTCAATGCCACCAAAAAACATACTTTCGCCACTTTGTAAGCGCTTACAAGATAAGAGCTGGTTTGTAAACACTTGAACGGCTCTATCAGTCGATGCACCAACCAGTCGGTAAATAAATCAACTCACAACCTGCCTCCAGTGGCCTCAGAACAAGGCAGGAGTATTTTTTTAAAGCTGTTGTTTCCCAGAGATATTGCAATTGGATTTTCTTTGAACCATTTGATTTTTGTTGCTCCACATGAAAATGTGCGGCTTGCAATCTGCAGCTTATCCCACAGGGATCTCCGACTGTGTTCAAATAGGCTGCGGTAAGCATTTCACCAGCCTGGTTTGAAAATGATACAGAGGCGATGGCAAGGACTATGAGACTGGTGAAATGTTTTCACTACCGTCTTATACAATAAGTAATGTGTTAACACTTGTAATGCCAACAGAAAAAGGTTCGTTATAGAACTATCATCTTGAAAGTTGCTAGACCTGGTGGCAATGGGATTATTGACACCCTGCTTCAGCTGTGACACATAGCAAAGCCATATGATTGTGCAATTGAGGGTAGAGCAGCAATTAACCAGTATGACTCTTAGTTTACGTTTTAACAATGAATGTAATAAGTTTAACTTGTTTGACCGTTTTCATTCAATGCACTCCTGAAAATTTCTAGAAAATTGAAGGAGGACTGTCCCTTGAAATCTGCCTGATCTGGTTGTTCATGTATGCACCTCACAACAAAAGACTATCCCTGTCGGACGGGAGGTGGGCAGGGGGGCCTTCTGAAGCAACAAATGGGGCTGCTGTGGCTCAGCTGGTAGAGTTTTCGTCTCTCAGGGTCGAGGGTTCGATCCCCAGCTCCTGCAGCAACAAGTCCAATGTGTCCTTGGGCAAGACACTGAACCCTGAATTGCTCCCGCTGCTTCGTCGGCGGTGTATGACTGCATAGGAATGGGATAAGTTACATCTGATGGTCTCAATACATAGCAGCCTCTGGCGTCAGCGTGTCGAAGAGGAGAAGAGAATAGAATAGTGTGAATGTACATACAAATAAATGTGTAGGTGTGACATGCAGTGTAAAAGCGCTTTGAGAAGTCAGAAGACTAGAAAAGCGCTTTATAAGCTGCGAAAGCAACAGAGTCTGCTATACGGCGCTACAATTAGAATATTTGACTTCAGGTCAATGCTATGTGTAGTTTGACAGAATCACAATATCTACAGAAGAGCGGAGAATAAGATACTGGTGAACACTGTATCGTCATGCACGATTGTGGGAATTAAACGTCACCATCCTCACCTACTGGCTTTAGGTGAATTCTCCTGATTTATATCCGGCTGTGTTCTCACATCAGCTCACTCAGATTTTCTGTCGAAGATACTACTCTGACCTTCTAGCACACCTAGTTCTATAAACGTCATATTTTCCTGTGAAGACTCCTCTGAAGGCCTTGAAGGCGTGGCATATCACATTTTTGATCGACTTCTCCCTGACTCCAAACCCAGCAACTTTCACTACAGAACATGACTGTCAGCGTTGTATTGTGAAGCCCAATATAGCATGTCAAGACATCAGAGTCAGAGTCAAAGAATGAAGCTGCCCATGTGACAATATGAATTCCAGTTAGTCACAGAAAGTTGAAAAACATTATGCTGTGCCTCCCAGTCTAAAGTAGCTCTTAGCAAACACATGCGACGTTAGCTGACATGAGCCTAAGCTATGAATTAAATGCTTAATGATGGCTGTAGCATTGCTAGAGCTGTTTATGATGAAACTAAACTCCTAAAGAGGCTTACATTTGTTGCCAAAATTTTGCAACAATGGTTGATACTCTATGCTTGGTGTTAATTGTCAAATAGGAGTTAACTTGGTTACCACTGTAATAGATATCCAGGCTAAACCAATCCCAATTCAGAGCTAATATCAGGAAAGATTTCAGAAACTTTAATGACAGTATTTCATATTGGACTGAAACGAATTTCCTGTACTTTGAAAATTCTTACAATAATGTACATGAAACCTCAGATTACATAGTTAGAAGGCTTTTGTGGATTTGGGTTTACAGCGGCTTAACATGGACCTCACTGACTGTGTTTGTGCTGGACAACTGCGGCTGTTTTGACTGACTCTGTGAATATAGTGTTTTCACAGGGTTACCATGCTGCTTCAGCAATGCAGAGGGCATGAAAATGTAAATGTTCTTGCTGGGCTCCCCCAAGCAGCTGCACAGTGAGTGTGCGTGTGTTTCTGTGTGTGCTTCAGTGAGTTCATCAGGGATCCAGTGTCAGTGTCAGAGCCCAGCCCATTTGGCTGTGGAGGTTTTCCCATAGGATCTCTCAAACACGGTCCGATTAATAAGTAAGTAGTCGAGTGCTTCTTCAGGTTAGTAGGACACACACATGACTTTTCTGTCGAGCATTCACATTCTGCACAATTTCACAGGATACCCCACTACCCCCCTCCTCATATAAGACATATCATGGTTCTCATATTCAAACAGCGGTTCATCTGGGCTCTAAGTAGCACGCTTTAGAAAGACAAGAACAGATGTGATATGAAAGAAAAAACTACCTGCGTTCCCAGGCTGCCACAGTGAGACAGGGATCAATAGGTGGCCTGTCTCCTAAAGCCTCTGTGTCCAGACAGAGACTTAGAAAACTCTGTGCAGCCCCACCCTCCCCTGCATGGCTGGTTGCCTGCCAGTCTTGTGACACAGCAGCCAGCAAGTGCCCCGGGCTGTTTGTGTGAGGGTGCAGAGACCTGGAAGGCATCTACCTGGCTGCCAGCAGCTACAACTTCAATGCGAACATTATGTTGTGGACAGGAACCTACCTACATTTCTTTTGACATTTCACACAGTTATTGTACAGTAGCCATGACTGTAATGTATAGTGGGATAGATATATGAGGAAAGATAGACTTACG